GCTGTGTGCTGCTGGAGAGTCTTGAAATCGACGGATCGACCTAAAGAAACCGTTATCGCTCAGTGCGATAAGCTAACATAAACAGGAGCATGAAAGCCGAATCCCAAACACCACTCAGGACACCGACGCGGTGACATCATGCAAAGGAATGAATCTCTTCCCTCGCCATAACTCCATGGACCAATCGGAGAACGACTCTCAGCGACAAAGCGACATATAAAACGCGCGCATTTGTAGAGAAGGCAATTATTTTTTCTCATAATTAGTCTCTGGTAGCTTTCGTGTACTTATTCAGAATATTATACTTAGTCGTAAAATCCGACTGTGTTGCAATTACTTTTGCCTACCCTTCATATTTCAAACGTTGCGAAATCAAAATTCTGAATCGCGGGCCGCATCAACCCGCGTAGTATCGGAACATCCGAGGCCGAGCCAGGAGAACAAGCACCGCTGATTTTTCGCCAGATTCATCAATCATTTCGCCAGGTTCCGGAGACCCAGGGTAAACTCGGTGAAAAGCAGAGTGACCCAAAAGCGGAGCCATCACTCTGTTGACCGTCCACGTAAGTCACTGATTTCACTACTTTCAAATTTCCCTATATAGTTATCTATCGTGGACGTAACAGGGCCAATGCATGGGAGCGTTCAAGCATTGAGCGTTAAAGCGTTAGCCAATCAACGTATCAGGTTCCAGAAGTATACTTGTAGTTCTTGCGAAAAATGGCACGTTGATTGGCTACCGCTTTAACGCTCGACGCTCGATGCTCCCATGTAAAGGCACCTATATTCGTATCAAGTGTCCGATGTAAACCAGGCCAATGTGCTGTAGAGAATCGGCCTATAGTCGACTGATTATCTGATATGAAGCATGGTGGCGCTGAAGATAGTTCTTGTTCTGAAGATTTCCGCTATAGCCTGGTATGTGTGACTAACGGCGTAACCGCCATATTAGTGCATCGATTCGTTTCGTGGTTCGTATATGATTGTTACGAAGGTATCGAGGAAATTCGCGCTGTTTGAATATTATTGTGTCGCGAGTTAGCGACCGTAATGCAATACATTTGTTTCTCGTCGTAGAGAGCAAATTGTCGTCTGGCGCGTCGCCGACTGGATATATTTCATCTATTTCCGGACCCTCGCACGCTGCCTGAATGATGTACACAGTAAGGAGAGATTTTAGTATATTGTTACCTCGTCACTGATATATTGTAATCCCACTTTTATAGCATGAAATTCGTAGTTGTGTTCTAACGATTCCACTCTGTGTTTTGTAAAATAATTAAACTGATCATTTTACAGTAATCTTATTAGTAATACAAAAACCATGCATTCTAGTCACAGGAAAATATATGTAGCAAAAAATATATGAATAGAAAGTCAAGTGTGATTTCTCTTCCTCTAAGTTAGTGACGTAATCTTTGATAAATTTAAGATAAGTTTCTGATCTCTAATAATTTCTCACACAAAACAAGTTTTAACAGATGGATGGATAGCAAAAACTTTTTTATTAACACATTTTTCTGATTTATGGGTTAGAAAAATTGAATACTCATAGTAGTCAAGGCAAATCCTGATTGTACTGCATTTTAAATTATTTTGTAACTTTTTAGGGGACAACCGCGTCGCAGGACACAAGATTCAGCGACAAGGAGAAAAAACTTCTTAAACAAATGAAATTTGGGGATTCATTGACACAGAAGGTAACTTATATTCTTACTTTTCTAAGTCTAAAACCTATCTTTATTCTCAGATTTTAAGGTTGCGTTCCAAAACGTCCTTTTTGAGGAAATTTTATTCAATATTCGATATTTACTTGATAGTATATGTAATGTGAACTATAGGTATTGAGTAAAATTTTCCTCAAAAAGAACATTTTGGAATGCAACCTAAGATAGTCTTAAAAATATTGAAAGAACAAGAAATAGCATAAAATTAACTAAAAATAGCAAATTAGCATTAAAAATAGCATAAAATTTGAAACATGAATTTTATTTATAAATAATGTATGCATGTGAATTCTTTTTCAGATTTTTTTAGTATAATTTTTTTAGTATAATATCCAGTTCAAGATTTAAAAAAATAAATCATTTCTATATATTTTGTAACAAAAAATAAATATATTTAAAATATCAGGAAGAAAATAAATTTATATATATCAATTGTATATCATATTGAAATATTGAATACAAATTGCAGAATTTTTTAAAAATTTATTTTGAAAATACAAAAAAAATGATTTATAAAAATATTTACTTATAGTAATTTATATAGTAATATTAAAAAAAATATATATACGTATATTTTGACACACTTATACACTTTTTCTATTACCTGTACACATTGTTAGATCAGCTGATGCATAAATGACACATTAAAAAGGAAAATTAAAAAATATTTGTTGCGTTTGTAATATTGTGCATATATATTTATTTCAACTTTATTTCAAATGAATATTTATTGCTTTACGAAATATATAAAAACAATAATTTTGTTTAATAAGTAATACATTTATGAATCTCCTTGATGCACCATTAAAAATATGATGCTAAATCTTAGTTTATAAGAACAGTTTTATTGAATACATATCAACCAAAGATAGTTAATGCAATCTTAATATATTGGCTGTTGTACTGAATTCACATCCCACTAGATTTGAGTTCTTGATGTGTATATAATATGTGTATTTTTTTATTTGATGTTCTTATTAATACTTTTAACTTAGCAAAAATAGTAAAGTACTTAGTAAAATCACTCCTAATTAGGCAGACAAAATTTACTCACAAATGGTTTCCCCTATGGACATTCACATCATCCTGATATGTGGGTATCATGTCAATTAATTTCTTAAGTATTGTTTAATATTTTTTAGACTACATAACATTTTAACTTTTAAAGTCAAATGATTTTTTAAGTCATTTTGTAAAGAAATATTCGTATAAACATATAAAATCTGTTTCAGAAAGAAAAATAGAGATAGTGTGTTAAAAATATTATAAAATTATTGTTTTTCCTTAATAGTTTTTAAACAAAAAGAGATTTTTTATTCAAGTTTAGACCAATAAATAGAGTATCATTATTTTTCACCTGTAATCATTGTTTTTTAAGAAGTGTACAGACAGAGTGTAGGTAGCATGTTACTATTTCGAACTTGTGTGTGCACCAATTGGAATCAATTATTTCATATAGATTATTACTATTTTATTAATTATCTATAAAAAATGCTCCTGGTAAATTTTGTTAAAGCCATTAGGGAGAGATAGTTGTGCTTCAATATAAAATTTTAAACACCCTGTGTCTCTAAAGCAGTCCTTGAGACCATGAATATGTTTATATGAACATATTTTTTATAAAATAATTTCAAGGATCAATTCCTAAAATATTGGATAGTATTTAAGAAACATCTTATATTAAATATAAGGTCAGACTGTGGCCGACTTTCTTCAAATTCTGATTATCTAATAATCTAATAATAGCATAGTATAGTATAGATTAGATAATCCAATCGACGATTAACTGGCAGAATTGCCAACAGCAATTTTTAACTATGTAATTTGTTGTTTGAAAATAATCAAAATATTAATCATTCTGTGCATATTAACAGAATAGAGCAGTTAATATTTAATTAATAGGAGTTTTAAATACAAGATGTAAGGAAAAAATATAATAATTTCTTGCTATAGTTTTAACAACTTGTCTCTTGTTTTCTATGTTTGCGACTCTGTTAGCTGAGTTAATCATCTATTAGCTTAATCAATCAACTTGAAGAAAGTCATCTTATAAATATAAGATCGAGTTATTATATCATTTTATATATGTGCTAACGATAAATTCCTAGAAAAACTAGAATTTCATTTTATTTAACTTCGTCAACTTTTTCGATTCGATTGTTGACTTTAGTCGACAACTGCCAAACAGTCACATGTTGCATCTATTTTAGTTGATAATTGAAATCAACATGTATCTTTTCACTTAAGGGCTTACACCACTCTAGCATTTGAAAATTAAACATATTTTTGGGAATTTTTTGTGGGCAAACCAAGAAATGAATCGAACATCTTTTTGGAAGGCTTTCTTATACATGTTTTAAAATGTATATTCAAATTTTTATGTTAACATATAAATAGCGGCGCTAGAGCCTTGTCAACATGAGCGTGTTTTTCGGGACGGGACTCCGGGACTTGCAGCATAAGTGTCACAAATGTTGATCTAGAATAAAAAACCAAAATTTTCCATCATCTACATGCCAATAGCTAGAGAAATACTTAAGGGATTTTTGGTGTATTGAAAATTACACATTTTATAAACAATTTTTGACGAAATTTTTAGGATTTAAAATGAAACTTTTTCTTTAAATGCATGTCATTTCTGTAAAAATAAATATTTTAAAAATATCCTACGTACTTCTTTAGCTATTGGCATATAGATGACGGGAAATTTTGGTTTCTTGTTCTAGATCAACATTTGCGACACTTATGTTGCAAGCCCCGGAGCCTCGTCCCGAAAAACACGCTCATGTTGACAAGGCTCTAGCGCCGCTATTTATATGTTAACATAAAAATTTAAATATACACTTTAAAATATGTACAATAAAATCTTTCAAACAGATTTTCGATTCATTTCTTTGTTTGCCCACAAAAAATTCCCAAAAATACGTTTAATTTTCGGACGCTAGATTGATGTAACCCCTTAATTAACAACCTTCATATAATTGTAATTACTTTATATTATATGAAAATGCTTCGCGCAAAAATAAACGTTTTTGCATTTATTCTTCCCGACCAATGACTTGTGAGTGACACTGTGCGATGAATAACCACCGTGCCGAAAGGGTTAACGATTGTTTCATTGTGAAAACCAGATAGTAAAAGATTCTTCTGAAATAAGTGGTATTCCTTTGAGATTTTGTAATGTTTTTTTTTAATGTACTTGACAGGTCGACATGAGCAAGGTGAAACTCGACGTGATCAAGCCATGGATCACCACGAAGATCACGCAGATTTTGGGGATGGAAGACGACGTTGTGGTAGAATTTGTATATAATCAGCTCGAGGAGAAGGTAAGAGACGCATTGCACTCAATCGAACGCAACTAAGCAACTCGATTAGAAATAGATTTAGCGGAATAGCTCGAGAAAAAGCAATAATGTCAGATGCGTTTTCACTTGGCTTTTTCCCCTCATCATATAGGAAATCGATATATATGCATTATTTCAGCACTATGTTTTTTTTATAGAACTCTCAAGCAACTCACTATCCAAACTTCGCACGCGACAGTGCCGAGTTTGATTAACACAAAGCAATGAGGCAGAGCATTCTTTTAGCTGTTTGCCGCATTGTTTTTTTCTTTTTTCTTTTTTTTTTTTTAATTTCCATAAATTTCATCGTTCCCCAGTATCCTCGTTTTCGATCGGCCTCAACATGTCCTCGCCTTCTCCAAGCGTATCCACTTTCGACAAACAAAACGAAAAAGAAAAGAGGAAAGAAAACAAAAAGAAACAAAACAAAAAAAACTGATCTGTAGCTGATCCTGCAATAACGAATTGTACAAATCGATTTTTATCACAATCTGTTTGAATTCCCCCGTTAGTATAAGTAGAGACCGTTGGTGGGGCTCAACCCTATTGTCCAAATGGCATTCGGGTGTGCTCCTCTCTACATCCGATTGGCCGCCTTTCTATCATCCGTCAACCCTAGCGTCAGCTGGTGGCAGTCGGTATCTCAGCGTCACCTTAGAACCGCCGACAAATCTTCAGCTTCAGCAGCTACGTCGTCGCAACCGTGGTGGCAACACACCGTCGACATGCCGTCGCCGTGGGATTGGCGCTGGCCTCCTGACCGAGACCCGATATCTCCGTCGCATCGTGTGTTCCTGCTGCTTAAGCTGCTTCTCGCGTCCCTTGCGGAGCGTCGCGAGCCTGCGGGAGTGGTGCACGTTGCCGTTCGAAATCGACTGGCTGGCATCATCCGGGCACCGTTGTGTCGTGCACTCTTCGTCGTCGTCATGCCGTTGCTACTTCGACGCGAGGTAGTTCGCCAGCATCGTGAGCACCGCCGCGGTGGGAGGAGGAGCCGTCGGAAGCTCGCGGCAGCTTTCGCTCGCCCGAGGATCTTCAGCCACCTGACGATGACGTCGCGTCGCGTCGCCTGGCCGGCGAAGCCATCCATCGAACCGGCGCATCCGCGCATCTATTTCGGAAGGTCCGCCGGCACGCAGCTACGCTGTCGCGGAGACGCTCCCTCGGACATTCTCGGACTCGTCGCGCGTCCATGAGCGAAACATCGCCCGGCGGCTGACCCTCGTGGTTACCAGCTTCGAAGCTTCGCTTTGCGATGGACCTCGATATTCCGGACACACTTACCCATATCGACGGCGTCGCGTGTCGACGGCGTGAGATTCAGGCGAAAACGGCGCCGGAGGTATCCCTACACTGGTTTGACTCTTTGTCAATGCCACAGGTTGGTGAAAAGGTGATCCTTTTATACCACATTATTTCTCCGACTTTCAGCCTAAGAGCAGCCCATGCCGGATACTCGATATTACGCTTCCCTATCGTTTCAGCGTGATCAGAGACAGACAAACAGAGAGAAGACACGTGTACATGTGCACCTTAAACGGTGTAAATATGTTAAAGTCGATGAGAGGGGAGTACGACCAGGTATAATCGGTGCATTTTGTGTGCTACCTGAGCGTTTCTCATGTCGATCAGTTCAATTGTCCTTTCTCTTCAGCATATAAACTTTTTATAACGCAGGTGCGAAGGTGTGTGCGAGCAGTCGGAGGCATCGGTGGTAAGGCACGCTTAGCGATAACAGAATAAATAATCTGCTTTTTCGAGGGGGAAAAGCAGTTCTCAGTAGCAAAATTATGTGTAGGGATACGAATACTGATTGTTCCTTGGTCGAGATGCCAAAACGGAATTTAACGCAGTATTCTTTCTCTCTCTTTGTTCTTACTTTCTTTTTCTTGCCATCGTGATTCATTTAGACGCACCAAAAAATCCCTTCGTAATATCGTTATGCGTGTAGAATTAAATTTGCACGCTATGTGTTTTGCAGTTCCCCGATCCCCGAAAAATGCAGATCAATCTCACAGGCTTCCTGAACGGCAGGAATGCCCGTTCGTTCATGGGTGAATTGTGGGACCTTCTGGTCTCCGCTCAGGAAAGCGTTACGGGCATTCCCGAGGCTTTCTTGCAACAAAAAAAAGATCAGATTAAGAAGCGTTTGGTAATTATCAATTTCCTCTACGTCATCTCTACGTCATGATCGAGTCAGAGTTTGAGCGAAAATCTCAATTTTTCTCAATTTAATAATTGATTCGAACAAATATGTTTCAATTCAATTAATTAACGATAGATTTCAACGAATTCAATTAAAGACCGTTCAATGGACGATTGAAGTGAGCGAAGGGAATCAAAGATCGTTCAATTGAACGTAGCATATTTGATTAAGGGCTGGTTATCTTCAATGATAGTTTAAACTTAGATTTCAACTTAATCTCTGTTTAAACAAAACAAACGCATTGTTAGAATACAGTTTAAACTTGAATCCAAGTTTAAACTGTTATTGAAAAACCGACCCTAAGGGCTGATTTTTCAATGATAGTTTAAACTTTGATTTCAACTTAAACTCTATTTAAACAAAACAAACGCATTGTTAGAATAAAGTTTAAACTTGAATCCGTTTAAACTGCTATTGAAAAATCGCCCCTAAATGTCGTTTAATTGACGATTGAACCTAGCAAATTTAATTAAAGGCTGTTTAATTGATATAAGCAAAATTCATTCGACTCAATCGAGAAGCATTCTATTACTCAAGGTTACAATTGGTTTTATGAATAATATTTATTCTCAGAGCATCGTGGCATCGTGATTGAGTAGGACTTACGTTGAAAGGAGCACTAAGCATATCATTCGTCCAGCAATCTTCGATTGAATCTACTGAATTTGCTCATATCAATTGTCAAGTAAACGTCTTTTAATTAAATTTACTAAGTTTAATCGTTATTCGAACGGTTTTCGATTGAAACCAATTATCAATTAAACGGTCTTCAATTGAATTGACTCAATTGTCAAGTGCACACGATAATTCATTGAAAAAGTAATTGCAACTCTGGATCGAATAATATAATAAGATCTGTGTACAAACATGTAGTGCATTAAGCTTCAATAATTCATATATGCAGACTATTCATAAAACTACACCGGATAATTTAGAGAAAGAAATAAGAACTCGCAAACGAAGATATAAATCAAAAAGTAGGAAAAAGGCAATCCGAGTTCAAGCACAGGACTAATAGTGCTATATACTATATGGGTAAAAACCTTCCTTGTGTTAGGAAATCGTGTAATATTTATTGAACATGAATAATCAATATAAAACAATCATACGTTTCGGCTCAACCATGAACCCTCTTCAGTGATAATAAAACTCGAGGTTTACAACACGAACGCATTACAATTAGTAAAAGACCAGCGCAAATTGACATGAATGTTAGTCGTAATATTAAAGTCGACAAGATCGTAAACTTTGTTTTGGTTTCTTTCTCTTCCATAAGTCGTTCCGCAATGTTAATGCTAGGCATATAAATCTGTAATTATTTGTATTTTGAAGAAGTGGCGATGTTATCGTTGACAGGATCGGTTTACTTTTAGCTGAACTCAACAAAGGTATTTTATATTGTTCAGTTGTAATTATTTATTATATTTCAATTTTACTTGCTTTATTTTATTTTATATGTTTTTTTTATAGTTATGTGACGGCTACTTCTTAATATTAATTTATTTCTTAATATTATTTCGGTAACGATCTTGTCGACTTTAATATTACGACTAACATTCATGTCAATTTGCGCTGGTCTTTTACTAATTGTAATGCGTTCGTGTTGTAAACCTTGAGTTTTATTATCACTGAAGAAAGTTCATGGTTGAGCCGAAACGTATGTTTTATATTGATTATTCATTCAATAAATATTACACGATTTCCTAACACAAGGGAGGTTTTTACCATATAGTATATAGCACTATTAGTCCTGTGCTTGAACTCGGATTGCCTTTTCCTACTTTTTAATTTACACCGGATAAATTATTGTCTTTAAGTAAATATAACCTAGTATTTTCGATAGTCACATTTAGCTTCTGTATAGTACGCAAGACGCGCAACTTTACAAACATATAAGGCGAGTTTTTTAATTCATTGATGAATCCATCGCATGATGCGTAAATACAGCGAAACGTTGCATTTGCGCATCATGCGATGGATCCATCAGTGAATTAAAAAAACTCGACCATATTCTTTAAGCTCTTATTTCGTGAACCGCTTCAAAAGTAAATAAACAATTGAATCGCTATATCTTGACATTCAGCGAGATATTCAGTGTATCCAAATGGATCAGATCAATTTATATTTAATTATATTTAGTTGTTAAAATACGATATCCCACACAGAACGTATATTTACGTTATGTTGTAACACATCGAATTAGGAAGAGCAAGAGAAGCTTCAAGCATCATTGGCGGAAAAGGAGAAAGAAAAGGAGCGCGAGAAAGAGAAGGATGACGCCGAGAGTAAAGTGAAGAAAGAGGAGAAAGATCGCGGCTCGTCGAAGGAGCGTAGAAGGGATCGAAGCAGGGATCGTGACCGTGAGAGGTATTGTTGTTGTGATGACATGTTTTGCTTTTATTTTTGGTTATGTATACATAAACAGTTTTCAGTTCTGTCATTTCGCTCAGATATTAGTTCGGACAGCAAAATTTTAAAAATATCTTAAAAACGTTCAAAATGTGTCTTATTTTCCAGATATCTTTTAAAAGTTTTTGTTGTTCGAGAAGTACCATGTTACAACATTATCATTGTATATTATTTCATTATCATTATCATTGTATATTTTAGTTATTATATATTTTAAGAAATTGTACATTCAGCACTTAAAGAGTGATAAGAATAACATTGTGATACCCAAAATGTTTCACATTTATATTTAAGTCCTGTATTACATTGCAGAAGCAAAAGGAGTAGATCGCGAGACCGACATAGGGATCGTGATCGATCGAGTCGCAAGAGGAGGTCCGCTTCTAGATCGCCGAGCAAGAATTCGTTGAAAGATAACGGGAAGGATATGCCCGACGTTAAGATCGAACGGGAAGACTCGCCGCAACCGGAGAATGCAATACCTTTGATGCCAGTTAAAACTAAGCCGTAAGTAAATCGAATCATCACCTGGATATATTGACAGTTATCTATGAAATATAAACTTGATTTGGATAAACTTACATTAAATATATTTATGGCCAATAAGAGCCGAGCTCTTTCTGATGTTAGAGTTAATATTATGTTTGGAAGGATAATAATGTGACAGTTTGATTTGGACTTGTTGCTACTAATGTGTGTTCCATGTCTCTACAGGGAAGCAGCAGTTGCGATATCAAGATTGCAAGCAAAATTGATGAGCATCGCTGATGGGAAAAAGAAGAATAATCGTACGCCCTCGCCGGAGTCATTGGAGAAGTCTGCGAAGAAATCACGGTCTAGATCTAAATCGCCGACGAGTCGTTCGAAAAAATCTCGATCCAAGTCACCCAGTCGAGACTCGAAGACGCGTAGATCTCGATCGCCAGCTTCGAAATCCAGGCGATCTCGCTCCAAGTCGAGATCCAGAAGATCTCATTCGAAGTCCAGACGATCGAAGTCGCGCTCGCAAGATCGCAGCAAGTCCAGGCGCAGCAAGTCCAAGTCGCCAAGGTCACGATCGCGCTCACACTCGAAGAAGTCGCGTTCCAAGAGCGACGATCGTAGCAAGACTAGGAAATCGAGATCCGACTCGAGCGACTCGAGGTCCTCCAAGTCTCGCTCGAAATCGCCGGACAAGCGGAAGGACAATGTCGGTTCCAACCGGAAACGCGACGGTAGCACAAGCAGCAGTTCAGAATCCGAGGAGGAGAAAAGCGCCAAGGACAAGAACGATTTCGAGATACGAAAGAAGAAGGATGGCGTACAAGCCAAGCGATCTTATCGGAAAACTAATAAGGATGACAGCGGCAGCGATAGCGATTCCAGTCGCGAGAGAAAGTCGGCTCCTAAGAGGAGAAGCCCTTCACCGCGCAAAGACCGGGGACGCTCCAAGGAGAGAGACCGCGACAGGGGCAGATCACGCGACAGATCACGAGATAGATCGCGAGATAGGTCGCGCGATAGATCGCGCGACAGGAATCGAAGGTAACTAACAAATTTGTCTCCAGTCATTTTCAACAGAGTTATCCAAGAAAAAAAATGTGATTTCGTGAATTTCATGAATATGTTTGAAGCTTCCGCTTTGTTGAGGAATGTGCTAGATTTGGCTTCCTGATTAGAACCGCGTTTATTACGAATTTGTTTCCAACGTTTCACGAACATCCTAGTTCACTTTATCAGAGAGAGGAGCAACCATATACATGATCAGTATCAGACAAGGTTGGAAAGTAAGATATTGTTTGTAATGTTGTTATTTTTACAAATTATTGTTTTTAGGGACGATTTGTGGCAACGATGTTGTCTTTTCTCGTTAATAACATAACGTATTTGCATAACGTTTTACATAATAACATAACGTTTTTGCGATAACGATAACGAATATAATTGTTACTTTGCATATATTGAAAACATATATACATGGGAAGGAATCATAAAAAAGTTCTCTAAAATTCCATGAAAATTGTAATAGCTTTTTTACGTATAACTAAAAAGTATAACGATACCGAGTTAACATAAAAAGTATAACAATGACGAGTTATCTTTCAAAATAAGCAACGGTAATTATGAGGAGTTATTTTTAACCTTTAAAGTGCACACAATTCTGTAAACTCCCATAAAATGCACATCAAGTCAAATTGACTTAATATAATGTTTTCAATTGTATATTTCTATGGCCCGATCTACAATAGATGGAGTAAGGAGTAGGAGACGAAATGGAAATAATTTATTTCGCTTACTCCCTTATTCCAATAAAAGTTTGCCCGTCTACGTCATATGGAGTAAGCCTGAATTAAGTAGTAAGAGCTGAAGTAAGGAGCTGGAGTAAAGGAGTAAGCAAAATAAATTATTCCATTTCGTCTTAAGGGACATCTATATTGGAAGTAAATAGCAAGAAGTAGGAAGTAAGAGTAAGAAATTGACCAACCACAGTTGAATGTGAGAAGAATAATTAACTATGATTGGTCAATTTCTTATTCTTACTTCCTACTTCTTACTGCTTACTTCCAATGTAGACGTCCCTTAACTTCTACTCCTACTCCTTACTCTATTATAGATTGGGCCTAAAAGTATGTACTTTTGCGAAAAACAGACATTTTTTGAAGCTAAAGAGTGACATTTTTGTGAAATATTGTCAGTTTTGAGAAAAACAATTCAATAAGTGAAAGTTATGTTAAAGTTGATCATTGTTGAAAGAAATATTTTCGTCTAAAATCCAAAAAATTTGTTGCTTTTTAATATTAAGGAAAATCCTTTCAGAATTTTGTAGTCAAGATTATAAGCTTCAAAATTATTTTGGATTTTTCGTTTTTTTTTTAAAAACTATATTCTAGAGTATAAAGTTGTGCATTTTTTAGCCAATATTCGATTGCTGTATACACTAAAGCAAACTTGGATCGGAACAGGTATAGTACTTTGAGAGTGGGGGTAAGTTTTCCAAATTACAATGTATTACGTTTAAAAATTACTACATATTTCAAGTTATTTTGCTCGAAAAAAAATTGGGTCAAAATAACCCGGTATGCGCTTAAAAGATTAAAAAGCAACTCTCTCAACCTTACCATTGAATTGCCTATCTTTCTGATGAGAAGAACTGAAACATTTACGGAGCGTTGGAATCAAATCCGCAAAAAGCATGGTTTCAAGTCAGAAGTTAAATCTAATAAAACTTTATAAGTAGTTTTTCGTTCTGTAAAAACTGTTTAGAAGATATTTTTAAAAGTGTATACTAGAAGATACATTAGAAGATGTATCAGAAAATGTATTTAAAAGTTTATAATACAAATCATCGTTATTCAATTTGTAAATTTTTGGATTGTAATTGTAAAATTTTTTTTTTCAGGAGGTCATTGGACCGAGATCGCGACAGGAGGCGAGATCGGGATCACGAGAGGGAGCGGGAGAGAGAGCGGGAAAGGGAAAGGATGGATCGGTATAGCGGCAGCCGCAGTATGCGGCCACCGTCGGTTCGCAGAGCGCCCAATAGACGCAGGTGAGTGTGTTTCCACTCACTAGAGATCCTCTAATTAGAGTCCTGATATCTCTGTCTTACTGTTTGATTGATCTAATTTCTAAAGTGATCGAAAATGGAATCGTGGTTTATTCAAATAAAGAACTTTATTTGGATAAGTCTTTATTTAAAATAAACTGTACATATGCGATGATGTTTTTTGAATACAGTATTTGACATTTTCGTAATGATATCAATTCATAATGCTCAGTTCTCAGGATTTACTGGCATAGTTGCCACGTAAAATTCTTTGTTATTTTTATTTTTACAATTTTGTTACGCAACGAATAGTCATGTTTACTGCGATTTATGTAATACCAGAAATCGCACTAAGGGCTGATTGTTCCAATCTCTTGGTAAACTATCTGACAGTTAAATGTCAGTCTTTGTTTTTTTCTTTAAATTAGACAGAGACAAACATATTATTTAAGTAACTTACCGAGAGGTTGGGAGAATCGGCCCTAATAAAGGTTTCTTGGAGATTATCTAGATATAGTAGGTATAGACGCCATTTTCGATCATTTTAGTGACAAAATTACGGAAAAAGTCGACGATGTCGAGACTCTGATTAGAGTCTCTACTATTCACTAGAGTTCCTCTAGTAAAAGTCAGGATATCGTATGATGATTCTTGATTCCGCGTCCTGTTTGCTATTAATATTCCCCCTGACGTGAGTGAGAGTGAGACTTTAATAGGAATGAGAAAGAAGCTAAGACTGAAATGACAATCACGCTGCAAGTTTTCTCTCATTTACGGACTAAGATTGACTTGAAGCTACAAAACTTTGGAGCGCGTAAAGAACGGTTATGATTGATCTATACGGCTTTTCAAAGCAATTGTAGCGTCAAGTGGATCCTCCTGTGTCAGACGGAGTGCAAATGGCGGACGGTGTCCTAACTTTTAGGGCCCATTGTTCCACTTTATTGATAAGTTGTTTAACAATTAAATCATACAGTATGTTTGATAAGAGCGTGTACGGCAAAACTTTTTCCTCGAAACCGTTAGAGGGGGGATATGAACGCGAGCCAATAGCGGGGCTCTTCTCCCAAGATGCTTTGTCTAGAAAGCCTTAGTTATCGTTTGACTTTCGTCACAAAAGGGCGTATTTCAACATGAGTGCCGCGTACGCATCACGTTACGAAGCTGTGTTTCTATGTTCGCATCCGAAAGGACCAAAAATGTCGCGCGGAGCGGCTGCTAAGTATATGAAGAAGTCTAAGGCGTTTGTGAGTAAGTGGGTGAAACGTTATTCCGAGGTCAAAAACGTTGATGACTTGCCGGATCGTGGCTCTGTGCAGAAAACGACGAAAAAGGAGGACAAAATGATTTTACGGGTGTTTGAGAAGAATCCTTGTTTATCATTGCGTGGCGGGCAAGCGGTTTTACTTAAAAAGGGTCTAAATATATCATGTCATACTATAAGAAGACGTTTACTGGCTCATAAAGTGAAATTTCGAAGCACGATAACGAAACCGTTGCTGTCTGAAAAACACGTCGAAAAAAGACTTGCTTGGGCAAAAGAAAATTTGGACCGCTATTGGGGCAACGTAATTTTTTCAGATGAAGCTTCGTTTTGGGCAAAGTCTTCTATCAGACGTGTCTGGTCTACCCAGGCCAATAGACTCATCGAGCGGACCGTTAAACATCCGGTAAAGGTGCACGTCTGGGGCTGTTTCTCAAAACAGGGATTTGGCACTTTACACATCTTTACACAAAATTTGGATGCTGCTAAAATGGTCCAAATATATGAGAGAGCTTTATTACCATCTGCCCAAAGGTGGTTTACGAGGAAAAATGAAAATTGGCTACTGCAAGAGGACAATGATCCGAAACATCGGAGTAGACTTTGTACTGCGTGGAAACAAGAAAATGACGTTGACGTACTGGATTGGCCTTCACAGTCGCCAGATGCAAATCCAATTGAAAATGTTTGGGCGCTTATAAAGTTTAAGCTCCGAGGAAAGAAAATATGGACCGTCAAGCAGTTAATTCGACAGATTCGATTTATATGGAGATCTTTGTCTGAAGATTATGCTGTAAAATTAGTAGAAAGTATGCCTCGGAGATGCCAGTCAATTATTGATAATGGAGGCGACTGGACAACTTATTAATAATAAAGCATCGCAGTCTATATCATGCATAATGTGTACAAATTTTTTCAATTTATGTATTATCCTAAGTTTTTGAGTTTTGCCGCTCTTATCAAACATTCTGTATGTTTATCTTTGTCTAATTTGAAAAAAACGAACACAAATACATGATTTAACTGTTAGGTAGCTCATTAAGAGCCGGATTCACCAACTCCGGTTACGGTCAAAATCTAACGGACGGTATCAGAGTTCCAACTGATAGACATGAGTACTTTGTCATTATTTTTATCCCTTAAAATTTCCAGTTGGAATCCTGATACCTTCAGTCAGATTTGACCGTAACCGGAATTGATGAAATCGACCTTAAGAAGTTGAAACAATCGACTCTTATCGGAAACTCTGGCATTCACTGAATAGTGTTGCCATCTCGCGTTATTAGTAGAAAACGAAAGATTCTATGAAAGATTGTTCCTCGACAGTCCACCACGCAGGAGTCCGGCAAGATACCGCCGTAGATCACCGAGCCCTGGCGGAGACAGGCGCCGCAGGAGATCTCTGGACCGCAGGAGACGGTCGTCGGAGAGACGCGACAGACGTCGATCACCCGATCACCGTGATAGCAGACGTCGCTCACCGGATGGACGGGACCGATCGAGCAGGTACGATAGATCTTCCTCTCGCGACAGATCGAGTAGGCAGGATCGTTCCAGAGACCGACGAGATAAGGATCGTAGATCTAGATCGAAGAATCATAGATCGAGATCCAAGGATCAAAGATCATCGGTGGATCGTTCGAGAGACGGGAAACGGTCTCCCGATCGTTCGAAGGATGCCAAGGATAAGGCAAGAGACAAGAAAACGGACGAGAAAGCTAAAAGACCGCCTGATACAGGATCGCGAAAAGAGTTGCGCAATGGCCGATCTAAGTCGAGTAGCTCGGAAAGTAGCGAGAGTAGTTCCTCTAGCAATGAGGACGAGTCACTTAGGTGAGTGAAACATCGCTTTGAACACGGTACTTCGTTTACACGGGGTTCTCGCGGTCGATGGATGATAAATAAATCGACGTTTGGTCGTGGCCTAATCTGTTCGTTGTTCGTGGATAAAGCGGGGGCGTCTTATAGAGAGAAACGTTTGTCCTCTATGTCTGCAGGAAATCAATCGAGCGCAAGACGTCGCAGGAGAAGCGGGAGAGAGAGCGGGACCACATTGACGACACCAAAAAAAAAGAGAAGGAGAAAGTGACGAAGGAGGAACCTGCTAAGCGGCCGGAGAAGGAAGTTAAAAAGACAGAGCCTGTTGTTGTGAAGAAGCCGGAGTCTAGTGTCTCTCCCAAGAAGCTTCAAACAATCGCGCTTCCCGTTACCAGACATAGAGTAAGTTTGAACTATTTCAGTCGTCAGAGACGCAGTCGGCACAAATGTAACCTTAACATGATCATAAATATTTTGTTTATGATATATTTATATTAGTTGTTGACATGGTTCATTCAGGAAGCACTACCCATAACCTAGCCCTGTATCTTTCATGTAATTGTGTAAAACGAACTTGTTTGGTGTGTTTATGTGGACATAAAAAAAATTATCAATGCTATATATGTGTTAGTGGTCGTCTACAATATGCAGAGTAAGCTTAGCGTAAGTTGGAGCAAGAAATAAAAATCGCTTACACTTTAACTCTCTTACCAGAAGTATTTCTTTTACTTAAAAGCATATAAGCATAATAAGTCTTATTAAATAAGTCTTATCTAAGCATAAAAAGCACTTACACCCTTGTGCGAATTAATGGAATCAAGTCAATTTTTTTCAAAAAACGCCTTTATTCACATAAACATCAAAATATCGATCACAAAATCAAATTCATCACTTGGTATACCCACTCATATTGTCTAATACCATTTTCACCCGTTCAGGCATTGAGTCAACCAGAGTTTTGCACTGTTGTTGAAACTTGTCATCCCGGAACCAGATTTTCAAAAGCGCAGAAATCTTGATTTTTGTCGTACAATCCATCTTCCTGAGTCTTCCTTTGCAAATAGCCCAAAGATTCTCAATGGGATTTAAATCAGGTGAGTTCTCTGGCCACTCTAGAACGTTTAAACCATTGTGTGAAGAATTGCTTTACTTTTTTTGATGTGTGGCAGGGTGCTAAATCTTGTTGAAAAACACCGCAACCATCCGGATACAGTTTCTGAAGTAATGGAAAAACTCTGGAACGCATTACTTTAATATATTTATCTCCATTCATCATCCCTTCCACTGGCACAAGTGACCCGGGTCCAAAATAGGAGAAACAACCCCAGAACATTTTCTTTTGAGGGTGTTTCACAAATTGAGCAATGTGCTTAGGAGAGACCTTCTCATCAACACCTCTGCGCACGTGCGTGCACTCTCACTCCCTGCATCAGAAAATGGCTTTTATCTGAGAACAAAACTTTTCTCCAATCCTCCTTAGTCCAGTCTTTGTATTTTCTTGCCCAGATTAGTCGTTTTTCCTTCATGACTGTAGTCAGCAGCTGTTTTTTCACTGGCCAGCGGGGTGGTCTACCCCCTTCCAACAAGCGACGACGGACTGTTGAATCATGAACTTGAGTTCCTGTGGCTGCCAAATCTTTCTGAAGGTCAAAACTATTCTTGGTTGGATCAGTCTTACTTTGTCTTAACAGGAAAGCATCATCTCTAGCCGAAGTTGCCCTCTTTCTCCCACATTTTCCAACTCTTTGTGGGGAAAATGAACCTGTGGTTTTCTTCAGCTTGAAAATCTTACTTACAGCACTTTGACTCACACCACACTTACTAGCTATCTTTCTTTGAGTCAGGGAAGTGTTCTCACTCAATGTCACAATAGCTTGCCTCTTCCTTGGTGAGATATCCATGGCTTACACAAAGATGAAAAATTGACCGGATTGTGGCAAAATGAGGAAAAACAGCATAAACTTGTAAAAACTCAGACAGATCGCGATTTTTGACAGAAACATGTGGAGAGATAACAGCTGATCGGCTGGTCGGCCAAAACAGTTGATATAAAAATGATGAAACAGTGATGCCAACAAAAGAAACTCGAAAATGAAAAATTTTCAACTTGATTCCATTAATAATTCGCACAAGGGTGTATAAGCATAATAAGTCTAGTATATATAGTATATATAGGCATGAAAGCGGAATAAATTATTTTTATTTTTTACTCTAACTTATGTCTCTAACTTTATTCCGTATATTGGAGACAGCCACTCACATATGTGCAACGCTAACAACGAACGTGTGTAAATACGTTGCGTGTGTAAACGCACAGTGTGTAACTGTTTTGCGCCTACTATTTATGTAGCGCTTTTCTTTGTGAGAAGTTGACAATTTTTTCTTAGTCTCTTCTTAGGTAGATTATTATTTATGATAACTTTTCAATGTTTAATATATTTTCTGTAGTCACTAGAGCACTATATAAGCGCGTGCTATTTAGCGTTTTTTATATTTAAAATGAATATTACATAGTACAAGCTACAATCATAAGTGTACAACACAACCTGACTTGTCACCGTCTGACAACTGCAAGCGGCACGAATCTCGGGTAAAGCCAGTCGTGACAGTCGAGATAGTCAATCAACATCGGGGAAATGAGGCCTTAGCTCTTTGATACAAATCACATTCATTCATTTAACGCGCACTAACTTTTTATAAAGAGGAAACTTCAAAGCAAGATTGACTTGAAATTGACTGTAAAAATAATTTTATTATCCATTTCTTGTTGTCTGAGATGATTTGGTTCACGAAAAGTCCTGATTTTTTATCGCTATTGATATCTCGTTAAAAAAACTCAAATTCTCACAAAGAATAGCGTTATGTATATAGCGGGCGTGAAATGGTTTATACTCTACACATGCATACATTTTTATGTTATGATAATCTGTCTTATAAGATTCCCGTTTCTTTCAATTCTTTAGTTTTCGAAGAGTCTGTCGCGTACACCGTCGCCGTTCAAAAAGACCGAAGACATCGTGGCAGCAGCGACCAAGATTAAACAGACGATCAAGTATGTTGCAAGCTGTTCGTTTTATGTATAATACGATATATTCTTGATATGTGTAATTTTATACGTTTCATCTTTAGGGAAGATAACAAAGACGAGTCGCCGAATATAGGAGAAGCGAGTTTCCCCGTTGGAGATGCTTTCCCTCTGAAGAAGGATGACAAATCATTGAAAACAACGAAATTGATAGCGGAAGACAAGAAGTCTACTCAGAAACCGTTAGAATCTGCATCATCTAAAAAATCCGTGGAAAGTACCAAGAAAGCAAAGAGAGAAAAGCACGATGGTTCTACGGACAGTGAAGATAGCGATGCTGAAGGTAAAGTATATATTTGAATTAATCGGTAACATGTAAGAAATGTTTAGTGTCTGATTTCCTTGAAAGTTTTTTTTTTATTTCACAGGCAAGAGAAAATCGAGGAAACTTGAGAAATCAAGAAAGTCTAGAAAAGCATCAACGGACGAAGATAAATCTGACAAGAGCAAAGCAGAATCCAGTTCGGATTCTGATGACGACAGAAAACATTCGGACAAAAATAAAAAAGCCCGAGAGATCGTTAGACCTGGTTAGTATCTCGCAAATAATATATTGATCGATAATTGACGCGTTTGTGACTAACAAAATCAATGTGATTTATATAAACGCAATTCCTGTTATTCTCTAATAGATTCTTCAACGGACGATCGCAGCAAAGATCGAAAGGACAGTAGAAAACGCGAAATCGCTGAGAATGACACGCGCAAGCGCTCAAAGAAAGATATTGAAGAGGACATGAAGAAATCAAAAAGATCGCGAAAGGACTCATCCTCGGGTGAGGAAGAGCAGAAAGTGAAAAGAAGTAGGAACGAAGAGGATAGATCGAGATCTCGAAAGGCAAAGAAGGACTCGAGTTCCGACGAGGAGCCCAAGAAGACGAAAAAGAGGCGGGATACTTCATCAGAGGACGAAAAGTCTCGATCACGAAAGTCGAGGAAGGATTCGACGAGCGAGGACGAGTCTAAATCAAAATCAAAGAAATCTAAGCGCGACTCCAGCTCGGAAGAGGACGATGTTGCGGACAAAGACGCAAAGAAGAAAAGGAAGATTGACGACAGTTCTGACGACGAAAAGGTGAAAAAGAAGCGTAAGAAAAAAACGAAAACCAGCACCAGCGAGTCGGAGGTAATGACGTGACGCATATAACAAACTTATTAATCAATTGTTTTTCTTATATATTCGTCATTGACTTGACATGATATTTTCAGGAGAGCGAAATTGAGGAAAAGAAGAAGAAGAAGGAGAAAAAGCACAAGAAACACAAGAAGCATAAGAAGCACAGGAAGCACAAGAAGAAGAAGGTCGCGGATTCAGATGAATCTGACGTAAGTGAAGGTAACACCGAAGAACTGGAAAAGAAACTTCGGGAGAAAGCACTAAAGTCTATGAAAAAAGGACACAGCATTGAACGAAGTGATTGAGACATTAATGTGTGATTTCTGAAAGTGTGTGTCAAGCACCACGTACATGTGTATCATGCGAGATACTTTTGTTGCGTGTTACAGATATGAACTTTTATTTAGTATCGATTGGATTGTTATTTCTCTATACATCACTCAATCCCTTCGTAACAATATGGAACGACATTCGTGACGTTAAGATAATTTGTTTTCACATGTGCTCGCGCGAAGAATATTGCCATTTCATTCTATTTCTGAAGTTTGTATTCAACTCGCCGTAATTATATGGCAATTTTCACTATCAGTAAACAGATGCAACATGCTTATCCATGCCTGATGATAAAGTTTACATTTCTGAAGAATTTAAAGAGATTCTTCAGATATGAGAAGTAGTGATAATAATACGAGCCCCTTCTTAGGTTTCTAAGCAGGATTAAGTGGATTGAGAACTCGTATATACGGTGATCTGTTTTATGTTTTATTTGTATAAAGCTTAGTTTTCGGCCCAATGTTGAAAGAATAATAAATAGCGCAATGAATGTGATGATATTACAGCAACTTACACAAGCTGAAGAACTATGAAACATCTATCCCCGCATGAATTCACGCTCCCGAATAATATAATCGTTTCTGTTTTACAGTGAACCGCTAATTTCTTCTAGACCTCAGAGTCGTCATACCGAATTTGCATACGTGATGTAGCTTATTTAATAATTCACGTATATTCTCTAGTACTGAAAGATAAAATACACAGCATTGAAAATTATATATATCCGCTTTTTTATTTGTGAGTATTTTGTAACCACGTAACCTCCTCTTTGTCTGTGTTTTTGCTAGGGTTGAGAAATAATGCGTCATTCGAAGAGTAACGCTATTAATAATATTTTTTCTTCAGTGACGACATTGTTTTTCTTTATTAGTAACGACAACAGTAAAAATATTTAATAGTAGTGTAGTAATCATAATTCATTATTTTTATCATTATTTTATATATGTAGTATACATTTACATAAGATGGATGGTATAGCGAACCGAAAAAAAGAGAACTGGGTGAAACAAGTAACAAAAATTGTCATGCGACTCGTTTTCCTGAGTAACAATAATAAGTTAATTTTCAAAATGTGTAACAGTTACGAATTACTTTTGAAAAATAAACCTCACTGGATATTGCGTAGAAATCCTTACTAATTAATTTATTAATTATTAAAAAGTTAAATTAAAGTAAATGAATATATATATATATATATTTGAGATTAATTTATTTTTAAGATTAATTTATTTTTAAGATACTAAAATAACACGTTCAAAGAATTATAGATCTGTCGACATATATTCCAATTCTGACGAAAATAATAGCATATTATTAATCGCGTAAAGAATCTACCTAAAATTGCTGATTACGTTTATTTTCACAGACGAGAGGTCTCGACAACGATTATCATATGACTCCATGGGTATTCTGTATTATTATAAGACATCGTTTTTCGTTCAATCTTTTCATTCGATCTTGGATAGCGCAAAATATATTATGAATACTTTTATGAAATACAAATGTTCTTAATTCCAAAATATTTGAATCGAATATACGTACAAAATGAATATACCTACAAAATGTTATAGGTAAAGATTCGTATATTTATAATCGAAAAGAACATTCGTAAAGTCTATTCACTGCGCATGTGCGATGCATTCGTGTAACTAAAAATTTTCCAAACATTCCAGATAGTAATATTTGTAGCTTAGTGATGAAACTTATCTACGAAATGAAATAGTCAAATTATTCTTTTGTAATTTATGAAAGCACAAATTATTCTTTTATAATTCATAAAATACTTTTATAAAAGCAAAATTAATGTTTCATCTATACTTTGTAAGTATTCTATGTGCACATAATATTCTACGTTCACAAGATATTTATAATTATGTCATTCGGATACATTACGAATGCACCATGATCGTATAATGGCGTTTCTAGTACATTCACAGAATGCACGAACACTCGTGAGACATATTCTTGCGCTATCTGCGGTTCTCTGTCCGCATTCCCCTAAAATTTACACGGGGCGCGACGCGTCTTCCCCCTCTCCCTCCTCCCGCCCCTCCACTATCGCGCCCACGCACGCAGATAAGCGGTATCGCAGCAACCTGCGGAAGACGGCGGCGGTGGCGTCAGAAGCGGCGATTGACGACGGTACGGCGACGTTTTCAGGACGGCTAGTAGCATAGGTAGTGACATGGACAGGAGGAGAGCATAGCCGGTGTGATGAGGTCATCGTATGGTTTTTTAGCCGCGCCGCGCGCCGGCAGTCGCGACGCGGAGCGCCCGAACGCCGGCCGCTCGCATGCGTTCCCGTTGCCAGCGCGCGCGCGCACACACGCGAGAGGAACGGTGCTGCGAGCGAGCGAGCGAGAGAGAGAAAGAGAGAAAGAGAGAGAGAGAGAGAGAGAGCCCGGCCACATGCGACGTGCCACGTGCCACGGCGCCGTGCGTTCCAGCGCCCCGCGAGTGCTCCCAGGACGATCGCGCCTGTTCGTCCTTCGTTAACAGGTGGTGAGATCGTTCCGATCCGATCCTCCGATATAAACCTCCTCGATTCTCTTCTTATTCTTCGCCGCCGTCGTCGTCGTTTCGCACCCCCGCTCGCGCATACCGAAGAGATGCCGCGTCCTTAGATCGGGGGTCCTGCGAGGGAGCCCGGAGCGGTATTTCGGAACCGTCGACCTGGCCGATCTGTCTCGTCGTTGCGATCGAAACCGGCTGTGAAACCGGCACGAAATTCGAACGGCATCTCGATTCGGAATTTCGAAATGTTTCCCGTGCGCGCCGCGAGGTGTTCGGGTTACGCCACCGGAACCGGCGTCTTCCGCGGGGATAAGTTCTGACGCGAACAAAAAATCGCGCATGCGAAATCAAGCGTCGGCTGTCAGCTTTCGAAGCGGCACGAAATGTTATGGTTAAAGCTTGTGGCGCTCCTAGGATCGACTAGTCGTTGTGCGGAACAACCAGGCGTTTTAGTCAAGGCCCAAAATTGTTTTGTGTTTCGGTTTTTTACTGGTGTCAAGTTTTTAGTCAATCCTGGGAGTGACTAACATGGCTTGTCAAAGTAGAAATTAAAAAGTATGAGTGTGTTATAACAACCCAGGCAGCACAACTTTTTAAAGACGTCCCAAAGACATCATGAGGACTTCTAAGTCCACATAAGTTCCCAGGATATTCCTTGAAGATCTTGTGCTGTGTCTGGGAGAAAATTAAAAAGTATATATGTGGGATGGGATGGAACGCTTTGCCCCAACTAAAAATTTAACTGAACCCTATCCTATAGTGACGATGTTGATTATTAAAAAATGTACATTTATGTATGTACATTTTAATGTACATACGTTCTTTTATGTACGTATTAATGTTTTTACAATGTTGTAGAGTAGATTAGATTTTTAGCGCGGTGTGAAAGGCGAAAAGTCTCCTCTCCCACCAAAAATATACTTTTGACACTTGTTAAATGTTACGATATATCGAAGAATTACGTTCTATTTATGTGTGTGTGTGTCTTTCGTTAATAAGTTTATAATAAACAACGAGTGACGCTCAAGATCTGTTGAAGGTTACTCAAGACGATGATTTTTACAAAATACACTGGAAAAAAATTGAAAAATTAATAAATATTTATTAGATGATACTATTAACATATTTACTTAAATAAAAATTTTCTTCTTCATTTATTTCGAGTAAGCAATACTCAGTTTAAATGAAAAGAATTTTGATTTAAATAAATTTGTTAATGGTATCCACCTAATAAATATTTGTTAATTTTTAGATATTTAAAAATTAACAAATAATAAGACAAATAAGAGCCAACAACCGACCTCAAAGGCGCATTAATCAATTTAATCAACACCAATTGATGTACAATAATAATTACATAAAATTGATTTTATGTAATTATTAGTCATTGTACATCGATTGGTGTTGATTAAATTGATTAATTCGCCTTTGAGATAGGCTGTTGGCTCTTATCTACCTTATTATTTGTTAATTTTTATTCTCGTCAAAAGCCTTTAACTTAAAGTTTAATTAATAATTCTTTTCTCAAGGACATTGGAGATGCCTCCTTTAAGTAGGAATTTTATAGAGATTTCTTTGAGTTTCTAACTTTCACCAATCATATTAGTCACTCCTAAGATTGACTAAAAACACGTCAACGACAAATATTCAAAAGCCAAAATACAAAACTATTTCGGACTTTGACCAAAACACTTGTTCCGCACATTGATCAGTCAATCTTAAGAGCGCTCGGGCTTTGATCATGACACATACGCTTTCGTTGCTCGATGTAGAACCAAGACGAGATGCACATATGGATTTAACGGCCGTTGTAGACTCGTGATTTGGCGGTCAGTCATGAATCTTCAACGTAAACTCGCGGAAAGTAAGAACTGCCTGACTTGGAAACGTGCAAAAGTGTTCATTTTTCATGAGCTCAAGCCAGAGAAAGATTCGTATAATCTCGCACTCTTTGTTTTTATTATACTTTATCAACGCGCACTGATTATTTCTGTCAGTATAAATTCACGCGCGTCGTGTTGTTCGTCCGGTGCTGTTTGACAACCGCTTGCGCATGCATACAGTGTTTGAAAATAAAACTACTTTTGGAAAAGAGACACTCTCTAAGTAATCGAATTATATCCCGACGAAGAGTCGACAGTTTCTCGATTCGACCGATCGATGGAGTCGGTCATTTATTCACAAGTGAAGGAAAATGTCCGATAGCCGGCACTCGTTAGTTTTCAGCACTCATGCTCGGATTTTATCAAATATTAACGCTCCCGTCTCCTCGCCGCGGAACTCTTGATTGATGACGTCAGAGACGAGAAAATGCACGATGAAAATTCTAGCGAAATACGTTAGATATGAAATGAAAAACACTTGCAATCGATCGGCATATCTGTAAAATAGTCCGCTTCTCTCTTGCTTTAACAATCAATAAATTATTGTAAAATTAACGTGACATGCAATCTACCTTTGTAACCTCCATTTCTTCATGATTGTGTCACGTTAATTTTATAGTTATTTATTAATATAGCACAAAAAAGGAAAAGGGGCACTACTTTACATATCTGCTCGATTGTCATTTAATGGATATATCTTTGGTCTGTTCTTTTCAACTGCACTGCTGAACTGGTCTCACTTTAACTTATTGCACCAGTTCAGCAGTGCAGCTGAAAAGAACAGACCACTTGTTATACGTATTTTGCAAGAATTTTGAGCGTGTATTTTCTCATTTCTGACGTCATAAATCAAGATTGCCACGGCGAAGAGCCAGGGGTCGTATTTTGAAAAATATCGCATACGATATTTCGATAAAAAGTTACAGTATACGTAACATGAACTATAGCTTTTCATAGAAGTATCGTATGCGATATTTTTCATTTATTTATTTATTTATTTTTATAGTTGAAGCAAATCCCTCTTTTACATGAAATGAAGACGTGTTGTAAATATATGTATCTATGTGTTATAAGTACATATATAAACGAACATATAAATGTAATCTAGGCCACTATACAAAGCCAACTTGCGGTATGAATCTAAACAATAGATACAGTCGTCAATAACGGAACATATTTGATAAAAATGTACAATAGGATTCATAAATGCCTTTACACTTCCGGCATCTAGAGAATTGGACTTTTTCGATCTGGCGCATCTTTTCTCAGTAATCGTGAATCGTGATTGTTAGTTACTGAAAGAACCAACAACTAATTGATAG